TGTTTTATTTAGATACAATCTAAACGACTGCACAAAGAATTGTATACGAACGGAACACTGACGTTATGACTGCTTTGCATGCAAAAGTTTCTAGATAGAGTACGATCAAATAGTTTATTATTTCTTCTCATACGTATATTTTAGATTTCTTGAAAATTGTACATAATTTACAAAATGAATCTATTATAAATCTATGTGGTTATACATAGTTATAAAAATAAAAATTTGTAAATATAATATAATATAATACATGTATGATTGTTGTTATGGTAATGTTAAAAAAATATTAAAAACTTGTTTTGTATGGGAATAGAAACGAGTCGATGAAGAGGAAAGACTAAAACGATTTACGGGATGTCGGCCACGAATTTCCAGGTGCGCTTACTGACAACGCAGGTGCAAGTCCACAAATCGTTCTCGAAAACGTATCGTTGGAAATATACGTTCTCTCTCCACATGTTCAAAGAGGAGACTTCTCGTCGCGATAATCAACGATTAGAGACTTCCCTTCGCGTGACTCCTCACTACGATCAATCTCGCTAAAACGATGCGGTTTTACGCGAATCGTCGCACGCGACCGGATCTATCGAGTCTTCTAACGAAAACGTAACTTAAGTTTAACGCCCGGAAGTTGCTCGCGAGAAGAAGGAAGAGTTAATTATCTAACATAATTTTCAGCTTTCGAACGCGAATTCTCTATTTATAAAGTAGAATATTATTTATTTTTTTAATTGTGTGTGTTAGATTTAAAAGAAAAGAAAAAATAAAATAAAATAGACACATTGTAATTTTTATATATTCGTGAATGTAAATATAATCTGTTAAATAATTTCAATCTAAATTCGATCAAAACGTTACTATTAATAATATTCAATGCTTTTATTTCATTGTGAACTAATAACACAAATGTAATTTATCAAACAGTTCTCACGATATATTTTTTCTTTCATGTAAAATAGTATCAGCTTAAGGGTAGATACATTTAATTTGTCTCAAGTACAGATGCGAGATGTTCGAATGGACATACGGGCTTTGAAGATGGCGGTAACTTCGTTAATCGCTTCGGTTCTTCTCATCGCGCGTTTCCTTCTTCTCCTCCTCCTTCATATTCTTCTTCGCAGAAGGAAGAAGAAGAAAAAACGTCGAATCATCTCTTCATCGGCGGGCCGAGGTTTTCAAGCTTTTTCGAATGACGCGCGAGCGCTAATGAACAAGATGTTATGCGAGGATAGCGCGTTGCAATGCGCGGAAAGTGATACACAGAAGTACCTGTGCTGAGTATAAAAGCTATAGACCGGTTATGCGAATATTGTTACTTCGTCATCCTCGGAACGTTGAAAAAATATAACCGACTCAGCCGATGCCTTTCCTTTGCCTTTTTATACTTTATCTTCTTTATTTGTAACAACATTGAACGACGTTATAAAAAAAAAAAAAAAGCTTATGAACGAAAGAACTCATTTGACTCGGATCCTTCAATTTAGCACTTTTAAGTGAGAATTTATAAACGATTACATAAATTTGCAAAAAAAGTCGTTTTTATTGATACTTTTAATGTAAAAAGGTAGCTAATTAATCGAAACATGGTAAGCAACCAATTAGCAGGAAAATACTTGAGAAGAATTGTGCATTCTATTACGAAATATCGTAACATCGACTGTTCAAGTCTTCCTGCGTGAAGGTTACTAGATGATTATACCAATTTGCTTATCTGAAGTAAGTATGAAAAAAAAAGTATAACCCTTCTGTATTATAAATCGACGCTACCCTTCGTTCCTGTTCCTCTTTAATGCATTTAATTTTATATTTTTTCTCCATTTTGTTCTTTTTTCCTCCACTTTGGCGAACAATGCGGGTACCACCTGCTCGAAGTCGCGCGCTTGTCGCCTTCTTTCTTCCTTCAAGAAATTTCTTTTTATTTTTATTAAACATAACTACGAATCATTCGAGGAGTTTAAAAATGCGTACGCAAATCGCTCGATGAATCGACTGATTTCGTGGACGACGAACGAGGGAGCTTTCATGGAACTTGGTGGAAGAAGAAACATTCTTGGCACGTATCGATGGAAGAAAGGTGATTATTAGGAAGTTCCTCTGTTCCATCTAATTCGATTGCTTCGATGTAGATTATACGTACACGGTATGCATATATGTATATGTGTACTACTTGATTGTATCACTCTAAGGGACAAAAAGATCTTTGTTGTTTCATTAACTACTGTAATAGGTACCTTTAATTAAACTAAAACGATTCTACGAATCAACTTACGAAACGTCCATAGTAGTAGTGTCAAACACTTTCTTAAATTAAATTTAGTGATCTATGATTATATATGAGTTTGACATCACTGATCTATAGGATTTTTTTCTTGTACAACTCGATAATGTATTACTATATACTACATACAATTAAGTGAATGTATAATACAATATACATACATACTTTTGATAAAAAGAAAAGAATAAAATGAAAGAAAAGAAGAAATGAAGTTTAAATAGGTACGATCGGCGCCGAGTAATTAGCATCCGTGCGTATGTTGGACACGTGTGTAAACGTAGTGCGTATGTACAGATGACACAGTCGTTCAATTGAGAAAGAATGCGCCGCTTAGAATTACTAATTTTCTGACAAGCTTAACGCGAGTTACGCGCACACACGTTTGGAGGAAACGCCGTCGTGAGATGTTTATCGAGAAAGCTTCTAACGAACGTCTCCTCGTTCGTACCTCAACTTATATTATGTATCTTCTATATATGAATAACTTCTCCGATGGCTTCTCATCTCTTTCCATGCTCCGTCACGTCCCCACTATTTAAATCTTTATGATCGAGTAGGGTATACCGTATACAATCAATCCATCTTATTCTTTATGGAATATGTATATTGAATCATTGAAATTGATGGGGAATGTAAGATACGATCCTAGTCTTCTTGCAAATAAGATTTGTTATATGAATTTTATTTATTTATATTCTCTTACCGTTATATGGCTTCGAAAAATAACAAAATTCAAGAAGAGATAGATGAAACATGTATACAACATAAATTTTATCTAGAAATGTCCAATTACGTAAGGAAAATAATAATTGACAGAGTAATTATTTGTTAAAATAAACGCATTGCCATTGCAAAATTAATCTATCTATAAATATTGAACGTTTCAATATTACTAGCAATATAAGTTTATTGACCTTTTTACATCGATAAAATACTCTGTAGATACCGGTAGATCATTGACTAACTGCTTTGTAGAAACTCTGTAGATCATTGATAAATTAAACCGTAGATACAGTTTTTCTGTTTATATTTTTAATTTATATTCATTTTTATTGTTAGTATATTTCATTAGTTATTATAAAGTAATTATAAAAATATAATATTTTGATAATAAATATTAAATGTATAATTTTCTTGTGTAAATTGTAAATCTAAATTATCAATGCTCGAGAAAGATTGAGTTGATCGAAGTGCACTCTAGTATTTCTTTTAAGAAGTTTCTCAGCCAGTGTTATATCAAACGATTCATGTCGCATGGTCACCAAGTCTAAAATTGGGTGCATATCATTTATATAGTTATATTTTTAAACAATTATAATAGTATATGAATTAGAATATGAATGTTTCGAGTGAATGCATTCATCTTTCGAGTGGTTATACTATGCCACTTATTGGAAGTGAGAATGCTTTTTAAAAATAAAATATAATAATATTGATAATTTATAACTCTTTTTTATCAACTGCAATATATTTCATTGGAAAAACATACAATAAGTTGTATTTTAGCCATTATTTTATTTGCTTTATGTTGTATTTTTAGTTGGAACTTATAAAATACAAGGAAGAGAAACTATTTATGAAGTAATCGATGAAAGCTTGAAAGTAGGTTTTAGATCAATTGGTAAGTGGAGTCATATTTTCTTATTTTTTATACCTTTAACATTTCTTATATTTTTATAAAGTTGAATTCTTGTCACTTAGATACAGCAACAGTATACAGAAATGAAGAAGACATTGGATTCGCTTTAAAGGAATTATTGCCTAAATATAATCTCCAAAGGAAAGATATTTTTATTACTACTAAACTAGGTATAAATTTAATCAAAAACCGTTGCTTTATTTATTATAATGTTTATATTGAAATAATAATTATTAAACATTTAATTTAACTTTTTTTTATAAAGCACCCAGCGATAATGGAAATGCGGAAGGTATACAACAATCGGTTTTAAAATCTCTTAAATCACTCGGTCTTTCTTATATTGATTTATATTTGATACATTGGCCTGGAGCTGCACGCATTCCTGAAAATTCTCACCAAAATAAACATTTGCGTGCTTGTACCTGGGAAAAATTAGTGGAGCTGCACAAACAAGGCTTAATAAGATCTATTGGTGTTTCTAACCATACTATTGATCATTTAAAAGAATTATTGAATAATCATTATGGTGTAAAACCTACAGTTAATCAAGTATGTTAGATGTAACATTCTTAGGACTAATTTTAAGCACTATACAATATATTTATTTTTTTGTTACGTACAGGTTGAATGTCACCCGCATTATCGTCAAGAAGAACTAATTAAATTTTGTAACGTAGAAGGAATACATGTACAAGCGTATTCCTCTTTGGGTACAAGTACCAATACCAGTCTTCTTAAAGATCCTGTTATTAATGATATTGCTATGAAACTTAATGTATCTCCAGCAAGATTATTATTAAAATGGGCTTTACAACAGGGCATTAGTAACTGTTATTACGAATATAATTTATTGTTAAATATTATTATATTTAAGATAATTTTATTTTATGATTCTTTCAGGTGTTATTCCCAAGGCTATAAAAAAAGAACATATACGAGATAACATAAATTTAAATTTTATTATCGATGAAGAAAAAATGAAAAGTTTATCGTGTCTACCACAAATTAAATATGCATGGGATCCACAAAATGTTTATTAATCAAATTAAGCAAGTAAAATAATATATTAAATTACAAATTAAATTGATTAATATAATAAGTATTAAAAAAGCACAATGAACAATTTTCCGAATAAAATAGCAACGCTTTGTATTGAAAAATACAATGCATTGAAAAAAAATGGAAAACCAACTGATAACGAGTGGACAATATTATCTGGAATTATTTTAAAAACAGAATGTGAATCTTTATCTGTAGTATCGCTTGCTACAGGTACAAAGTGTATAGGAGGATTAGAATTAATTAAAACTCCTCCACACGAAAGAGGTTCGAAACTGAGTGATTCTCATGCAGAAATACTTGCAAGACGTGCTTTCTTACGTTATTTGTATGATCAAATAGATATTGTATTAAGTGGATTTAAAAGTAATATTTTATTTCTAAACGAAGAAAATAAATTAGAAATGTATCCTAGCATATCATTCCATTTTTTCTCCAGTCAAAGTCCTTGTGGAGATTGTTCTATATTTCCTAAGAATGACATAGATGAGGAAGAATGTCCCGCAAAAATTAGAAAAACGATGCATAATGATCAAGAAAAAACGACATTAGAGTTATCTGTCATTGAAACCAATACAGACATACACAGAACAGGTGCAAAGTGTTTAAAAACTGAACGATATCAAGATCTTAAATTACCAGGAGCTGACTATCATATAACTGGTCCATTACGAACAAAGCCTGGTAGAGGAGATCCCACATTGAGTTTATCATGTTCAGATAAAATGGCAAAGTATGAAACAAGTAATTTGTATAAAAATGTAATAATAAATGAAAAAAGAATATAATTTATATATTAAGTATTTGATAATGTTTTAGGTGGAATGTTATTGGGATACAGGGTTCGCTGTTATCATTATTCATTTCACAAATAAAATTGGAAAGCATTACTATCGGTAATGGATGTCCTTTTTCGCTAGAAGCTATGGAACGAGGCTTGTGTAAAAGATTCAGCAATAAATTACACGTACCACAAATTTTTCAAGCAGACATTGCTTTTGCTCATAGAAAAGCAGGAAAAAGAATAAATCCATGCTCATCAAGTATTATATGGTGTGCTGTTAGAAAAAGGTTTATATATTTATATTTATAAAATACTGTTGTGAACGATAGCAACAATAGTATTAGTAATTTATAAAATATCTACAGCGAATTGGAAATTGCTGTACAAGGCAGAAAGCAAGGAATAACTAAAAAAAAGAAAGGCCATAACTTACTTGTTAGTCGACGTGAACTTTTAAAAATATGTCTACAAATTTGTGATAAATATCAAAATATTAAAACAAATATATTTCATCCAAAGAAAATTACGTATTACGATTGCAAGCAGTGGGCTTTTCAATATCAAAATACTTGGAACCAATTAAAGAAGGAAGTTTTCATTTCTTGGCCAGGTAAACCATTATATTTGCAAGATTTTATATTATAATGACAATTAAAGTATAATGTTTGAACATATATGCAGGTGAGGAAAATATTATGTACAATTTTAAATAATTTTATACTTATATCTTAAAGTTTTTAAAAAATTGTTATTTTTAAATATATTTAATATAAATATTTTATAATGTTCGTTTACTTAAATTAGTATACCCTATACCGACACAAGTTAAGGTTACCTGATCTTTTATTTCATCTTCTTCTTTAACAGATTCAATTTTAAAAACTATTCCGAGGAAATCTCGTAAATCTCTTAAAAATTGTATCCTAAAAAAAAATATTAAATCATTTGTTTATTATTTGTTATTATTACTCTTCTTTTTATGGGTTTGAGAGGAACTTTTCTACAACATCATTTCAAAACCCAGCCCATTATATTTTCATAGAAGCCTTCTTATTATCTGTTTCGAGTCAACAGTATACGGTGTTCCAAAGTTGTAACTCACCTAAGTACTAACAGTGTCCATCGTTGCTAAACTTTAGTGATCTTATGAAAACTAATTTTTTCAACGAGGCGAGGCCGTTAACTCTAGTCACACATTTATTCTAGTTTATAATATATTATTTATAATATTATACTACTTACATTGATTGGGTTAATGGTCCTGTTACAATTTTAGACACATCCTTTTTACCAAGTACCATAAATAATGCTGCCATACTTTGGAATGGAGAATCGACACATCCATTTCTGAAATTTAATAACAATTTAAATTGATCTTCTTAATTTTTCAAAATTAAATATAAGTTTTCTTTATTCCTTTACCGATAAATTTCATCAAGTAATATCATAGCTGCATCTTTTCCAAGATCTTCTGGTACACAAGGTAAAGAACCTGTTGTCATTAAAGGTGAACAAGCCTCTCCACTGAGAAAAATACCATTGGTTGTTTCAGCAGTCAAACTTATAGCAAAACCTGATGCATGTATTATCCATATTATAGTAGTGTAAAATATTAAGAAAAGTGAATTTGTTAATTAATACTTTATATATACCTGGTGATTTGCCACTGGCTGCACCTCTACAATGATCCGTATGTATATATATATCTGGTAAAAATTTTAATAATACACCTTTAGCAGATTCAACCATACGATTGGCAATTGCTGGTGAAACACGTACACTACAAGAAAGTCCTCTAATACGTTTAACCATACCACTATTTTGAAGCTACAAATAATAAATAAATAATTTTATAACAGAGTGAGAGAGAGAGAGAAAGAATAATAATAGAAATTACTTGTATAGATTTAAGAGTACGGCAAAGCGGACACTTAAAATGTATTTCTCCACCTCCTAGCGGTACCATTCCTCTCTTTTTGATATTAAGCTCGATATCTGTATCTACTATAAATCTTTTTAATAATGGTATACATGACGCTTTAATTCTATCCACAGATGGATCTGTTCAAAATATAGAAATAAAATGTCAGTAAAAGATAACCTTTTTTATATAGAAAAGAAATTACATACCCAATGTATTACTCGTTACTCCTCTAAGCTTGATATCAATAGGTATTTTACAGAAAGGTGCTAATATAATGACAGCTTCTAAATAATATCCAATTCCACGCTGCAAGCTACAATCATGTTCTAGTTCTCCACCATTTAATAAACCAGGATTGTAATATAAAGATGTGCCTGTTTCATTCAATTCTACTCTAGTACCATTAGTAATTTTATCTAATAAACGTATGAAGCTTATTTCATATTCTGTAATAATATATAATACATATTAATATACCATGTAATTTTAACCATAACACATGTCTAATAACAAACCTAACCTCTTAATCCAGGATCATCGTCTTTGGTTCTTATATTAATAATGCGCACTGGTTTTCCAGATAACGTCGATAATAAAAGACGATATCTTAAATAATTACACCCTTCGTATATTAAAACTTTATTTTGTATTTGTGCCGGCATCTTTAATACAAAATATGTACACAAATGGAACACAATCAACTCAAATTTCGGAAATGAATATGACTCTAGTAGTACTTGTTGATTTTCTTCGACTATAATTTGTTTTAAATAATAATTCTGTTTAATATATTACTTGTGTCATAATTTTTCTCTTAATTTAATTTTAAATAATGTAACTAAAAATTAGAACCATAATATAACAAATATTTGTTAAGAAATGTTAATCGAGTTTCGATATGACCAAGGTAGTCACATTTTAAAATGATGTTAGATATAAAATATATTTAATTAGGGAGCGGAAAAAACTAATTACTTTTATAATGTTTTATGTTAATCTTTCATTAACTAAATATTATTTGTAATGGAATGTATAGTATATAAAATATTATAATCATTACAAGGAAAGTAATATCCTGTTTAGAAATATTTGATGCAATTCAATATAACGAATAAATGATATAAAAATATTGCAACAAAAAAATGCAATATTATATATTATATTATACATTTATTGCATTATTTATTTTAATGTATTTTTATTACTCGAAATTAAAAGTGCGAAGAGTTATTAGGTCATCGATTAGAATTATTATCTGCTCTGACATTAGATTAAATGTGCTCGTATATATGTGCACTGTCAATGAACTCTAAGTTCATTGATGGTCCACGAGCAAGGATAGCTAACGGGGAATCTAAATTAATTTTTTAATTAATAATTTTAATAATGCAGAAAACAAATGAAAATATTTCATAGATATATTATAATATAAAATATATTTCACTGATATTAGTATTATAAGCAGTTAAAAGTAATTGTGCAAAAATGCCTTCAAGTCATTTCTAAATTATAGGATCATAATCTGGCATATTATAATAGCACGGTATTAGAATAGAAATAATACTTTACATAGTCAATAATTTTTCTTTCAGCAAAAAATATCTCTTAACCAAATGGGAGTAATTATTTTCTATGTAAATAGTTCAAGATTTTTATTAATCAAATTTTTCTTTTCAGCTTTGTTAGGGTTGTGTTAGATTGTTTTTTTTTTTATAATTTAAAATCAGGGACGATTCTAATTTTATATCATTAACAGTTATACCATAATATATCAAATTCTGAGAGTACTTTTTCGAATGATTGACGTTTTTAATCAAAGACTCTTTTCATGCTCGCATGTAGGGAATGTCCGAATGCAGTGGTCAGGGCACGAAGCAAAGAAGAGGCTAAATACCGAAGAGGCCCCCACTTAACCATGGCTCAAGAGGGCAACTATGGGCTGCTGAGTTATTTTCAAAGGTTCAACAGTATGTTTGAATCTTTTGAGAATGATTCTTATAGTCATATTTTATATTTTATTGTATTATTATTTTGCTCGTCAATAATTTCTAATCGTTATTGCGAATGAAAATGATTAATATATTTTTCTTTTTGCTGCAGGTAATCATCATTGGATTTATCACCAATCAAATGGAATAATCGTTACTAAAGATAAATTCAGTATTTAAATAATTTCATTTTATATGATATTTGATTATCCCCCCCATTTGATAACTTTCAAATTCATTTTATTTTATGTTTATTTTACTTTGTCTTAGGATGGGATTAATTTGTATTAGTTACTGTAATTGGAAATAATAAACCATTCTGTTTCTTTTACACGCAAAATTCCAGACTCACAGGTGTTCAGTTAGTTACAGTCAAAACTGTAGAGATAAATTATATAGTTACATTACGTACAAACTATATAGATTCACGTAATATTAGATTTTAAAACTTAATTAATGTTTGTTAAATATTACAATTATTTTTCTTTTCCGTTTTTGTCTTTAAAATTTTTATTTTGGATCGAATATTATTATATCTGCAATTTTTGTTTATAAAGAACCCGATATCGTTATTTATCAACGTGAGATAGAGATGATTTGATGTAAGAGTAGATTATTTGTAGGACTCATTTAAATACTATTATAATGAAGAAAAGTTTATTTTATAATAATAATTCTATAATTATATGTCAAGTAAATTTTATCTTTTAAAACCTAATCCCTTTCTTCGACTTTTTGTGTCGACTAATAGTTGTGCTTGTCTTTTTAAGATATTTCTTGTCGGTACTTCTTCTTCATCTTCCGAAGGTGGTATCGCTGAAGATGTCCAGGTTGGAAATTTTGAAAAGAGGGGAACATTTTCAACGCGTATGGCTTTGCCTTCTAACGAAGTTGTGATGGACATTGTTTCTAGCTGTAAGACATAAGTAAAATTCAACGATATGCTTTAGATAATAACTAATATCAAATCATGTTTTTGGAAAGTTTCTAACCTTGTCCGTTAATCCATCATCCAATATTTCGGAGTACACGTCTTGTCTACTAAAAATATCGGTCAGTTTTGGAGCAATTTCGTTTAACAACATTAATTGCTTTGATGGGTCAGATGGCATAGTTGATTCTTCTTTGATAATAGTATTCAAATCTGTTGTATTCTATAAAAAAAAATTGGAAAACTAGAACGTATGTGTATGCACATATAAATATGTATAATATTTATATGTGCATACAACTATGTACGCGTGTATGTTTATACATTTTTTATATAATGTATATAATATTATTTTTATGGGCTAGATGTTAAATAATACGTCGACTCTAACTTTGATTAGACGAACAAAGTAAAAGAATTGAAAGTTTAGTTAACAAGTCGAACTTTCGGGTATGTAACTTACACCATCGATAAAATCAATATTCGATTTTTCACGCGTTTCCTTCCAAACTGTTTGTTTTCGATCAAATACGAAGGTGTTAATGCATCGCGACGAGGTGAGAATTACAGTGCAGGAAGCAGTTCGAAAGAAAATCCATTGGTTCTCGATATATCAGTTGACTTGAGGATGTTAAACTCAAAAAATAAATGTTTGATTCTAACGTACAAAGAGAAGTCCATTTATAGTCGTGGAGGTCATTAAAGGCGGTTTCACTAATTTAATTAGTCATCTACACGTTATTTCCATCGAACGAAGCTTCGATACGTATATGTCGAAGGGCCAATTCGATTTTCGGAATTCCTTTCACGACGTGTTAATTCTTCGTAGGGTTTTACAATCGTGCTTCGAATACGTTAAATG